TAAAGTGGCGTGTGAATGATCAGGGAAGAGGGGCTGGCCAGGGGGCTGGGGCTGGCTCAGGAAGAGGGCGCCGATGAAAGTACCTGGGCCGGCTCCGGCCCTGCTCGGGATCGAAGGGGAAATGCAATCTCGGGGGTGGACAATCCCCCCCCCCCCGCCTTTCCGCACCGCTCCCCTCCCCCCGGCCCCGGCGGGCTGGCCAGACTCCCGGGTCAGCGTGGCCCGAGGCAAGGGCTGGTGCCGACGGAGCAGTCGCGCTCCAGAATGTGCGTGCTGGAGATCAGGCGCGATGTGGCCATCCGTTGGTGGTCTCACTGAGGGGGACCCCGGGGTGCGATCTAGGTGTATTTTGGGGGCGCGGGAGGGCACGCCGCCCAGCGAACATGGCCGGTGGCCCGGGGCGGGCCGGGGCGGGGCGGGGCGAAGGGAGAAAGAAAAACACCTATCCGAGAAGCTTACGGATGAAGGGGTTGGAGGCGGTGGTGCGTGCGACGCCGGCCGACACGCCGCGGCAGATGGACGAGAACTCGCGGACCGCATCGGCCGTCTGCCGTGGGCTGCCGCTGAGGAGCGCGCCCGGGAGGGGAGGTGCGGAGGGGAGGAGGTCGATGTCAGCAAAGGGGCATGGCGGCGATGAAGGTGGCGCGATGTGCGGATGGGTGTAACGGGAAAAAAAACCCACCCCCCGCCCCCGGCAAACTGGAGGGGCCCCGGAAGAGAAAGAGCGAGGCAAATGCCCGGGCGGCACACGCACCGCATCATGTCGTCGGCAAAGCGCAGCTTCACCGCGCGCGTGACCGTGGGGGTGGGGAAGCCCGGCTGCTCGGCCAGGAAGAGTAGGGTCCGGCGGAAGCGCACGACGGCCAACTGGCGGCACTGTCGGAGAACCGCCGCCACCGGGGCCGTCAGCGACGCGGGGGCGGCCAGGTGCCCGGGCCCGGCCACCCGGAGCAGGGCCTCGCGCACCAAAATCGGCACGAAGTACGCAAGGGCATGGGTGGCCATGGCTTCCGAGGCGCCGGCCGCCAAGCAGCCGCTGGCCAGCCGGGCCAGCAGCTGCAGCAGCACCTCCAAAGAGGGCCGGTCATTCAGCTGCCCAAGCGCATGCATTGCCAGGCCCAAGACCAAGTTGGCCGCCGGGACGGCCGGATCGGCGAAGCTCCGCGCCAGCGGGGCCACCGCCGTGTGGGCCCCGGCATCGGGCCTGGCGGTGCCAATGGCCGAGGGCCACGGCTGGAAGAGGGCCCCCCCATTGGGGGTGCCCAGATTTTGGATGGGCCGCCGCCAGGGGGGGGTGGCCTCGCCGGGGCCCTCGCCCGGGCCGGGGGAAATCCCCAGCCCCAGGCAGAAGCTTGGGCTTTGCTGGGCCACATTCCCGAGGAAGCGGAAGAAGGCGGCGGCCAAGTCCGGCCGGAGGCCCAGCCCGGGCAAATCCAACGCCGGGGCCGCGGGAAAGTCGAAGTCCCCATCGATGCGCGGCCGGGCCACGGCCTCGGAGGCCCCGCGCTCGGGCGGATACTCCGGCACCTGGAGGGCCAGCTGGTGCCAGGCCCACAGGCGCTCATCGGTCAGGCCGCATGCCCGGGCAAAGGCCACCACCAGCGTCGCATGCAGGAAGTGGAAGTGCGCCTGGAGGTCGGCCACCTCGGCCGGGGTCTGCCCCGGACCCGAATCGGCCAGGAGACTCCGGCCGCCGCGAGCGGACAGCCACCGCCCGGGCCCGGCCGCTCGCAATGGCAGGGCGGCCCACACCCGATCGATGCCGGTCAGCACGCCGGTCGAGGGGTGTGCCTCGAAGGTCAGCACCAGGGTCTGGCCGATGGCCACCAGCAGCCCGGTTGGAATGGCCAAATCCCGGTCCATGATATTCCCCAGCAGGTCGGCCACGATCTGCCCGGTACCGGCGCGCGCCATGGAGCGGTGGCGGAGGAGCCCGGAGGGACACATGGTTGGGCTGTGAGATGGCAAATGGCGGGAGAGGCGGGCGGGCAGGCGGGGGGGGG